TGTTTTGCCTACACGTGGACATGAGCATGGTAAGGGGAGTCCCAGGGGGCAGTCAGGGAGCGGGGGAGTGTTGGATGGGTCCCCGGCCCCTCCACCTGCCACCCCCCCTCCACGCATCCCCCCCCCCGCCTGCCTCTCCCATGCCTGCTTGTACTGCCAGAGCCGGCAGCAACTGCTGTCTGCTGCCCCCGGGTCCTAGTGCCCCCCATCCACAAATGGCAAGACAGGCTGCCCTTACCCTGCCCTTCCACCCTAGCCCTGAGCCTCTCCAACGCCCCAAACCCCTCAGCCCCAGCCCTCATACCCCCGCACCCTAATCCTCTGCTCCATCCATGAGCCCCCTCCTGTATCATGAACCCCTCAGCCCCAACCCTCATCCTCCCGCACCCTAATCCTCTGCCCCAGCCCTGAGCCCCCTCCTGCATCATGAACCCCTCATCCTCAGCCCCAACCCTCATCCCCCTGCACCCTAATCCTCTGCTCCATCCCAGAGCCCCCTCCTGCATCATGAACCCCTCATCCTCAGACCCAACCCTCATCCCCCCACCCCCTATTCCTCTGCCCCAGCCCTGAGCCCCCTCCTGCATCATGAACCCCTCATCCTCAGCCCCACAGCCCTCACCCTTGCACCCCTCCTATCCCCAAACTCACAAACCCCCTCCCCCTTCCCACACCCCCCCTCCTGCCCTCAAACTCCCTCCCAAAGCCTGCACCCCCTCCCTTTGCACCACCTCCCACCCCCAAACTCTATCCCAGAGCCTGCACCCTGCACCCCTCCTGCACCCTAGACTTCCTCCCCCCACCCAGGACCTGCACCCCAGACTTCCTCCCCTCACCCAATACCCCTCCCAGAGCCTTAGGCAGGTGGGGGGGGCGGGTTCTGGGCACCACCAAAATTTCTACAACCCTGCCACCCATGCGAGTGGATAAGCGTCGGGGCAGTCAGGGGACAGGTAAGTTCCTAGGGGGGGCAGTTAGGGTGGGGGGTTCTCAGCAGGGGGCAGTCAGGGGACAAGAAGTGGGGAGTTGGGGGTTTTGAGGGGGGCAGTCAGGGGGTGGGAAGTGGGAGGGAGTGGATGGGGCGGGGGTGGGGCTAGGGCGGGGCTCCTCCCCCCCCCAGTGTCCTCTTTTTTGATTGTGGAAATATGGTAACCCTACCATTGCTAGCCGACAGGGGAGTCCCATAAGGGCCTGCCAGAGCGCGGCTGCCTTATGGGGCCTCTATTAGCCACGCCCTTCCCAGGCACCCGAACCCCACCAGGTTTCGTCACAGCGAGCTGGGTCAGACAGACTAGGGCACATGAGCTACAGCCCCTTGCCCCAGCTAGGGTTACCAACTTTCTAATTCCAGAAAACCCCAACGCCCTTGCCCTGCCCCTTCCTGAGCCCCTCATAGAATATCAGGGTTGGAAGGGACCGCAGAAGGTCATCGAGTCCAACCCCCTGCTCCCCGCCCCCTTCATCCCCTGTCCCTCACTCGCTTGCTCTCCCCCACCGTCACTTACGTGCTCAGTTTCACTGCAAGGCCCAAACAGGCTTAGGTTTTTTTTGGCACCTAGATCATGCTAAATTCACGTTTTATTTGTTACAGGATGCTAGAGCTGGCAGCAAAATAGTCAATAAGGGTAATTAAAAAAAAAATAGAAATTTCACTAAGGTTTTCATGATTTTTTTTTTTACCCTTCCCTCTTCCCATTTTTCATAACCAGCTCCGTGGTTTTGGTTCACTAAAGTTACTGTAATTGTATGTATGGAATTAGAACCACACATTATCACAGCTGCAGTGGGTCCATTAAAGGCTCACTCCCACAGCCCAAATACAAATCCATAGAGCACAACCACAGAAATGCACACCTGTCCAGATATCTATAAAAATAAATCAGTTTCTACAGATTCTCATACCTACATGCAGATACACATGTATTCATGTGTACATCTCCAGCATGTACTAACACATATACTTCCACTTTATTTATTATTACAATTGTTGTTTAGTGCCTAGAAACCCCAAATAAGATCAGGGCTCCAGGGTGGTAGGTGCTAGACATACACATAAAAAGAGAGAGTCTGCAAGCGTTTATAATGTAGCTAGACAAGGGTGGGGTGGGGAGAAATGTATGATACAGTGGCTCTTCTGCAATTACTAGTCAACATTCACTGTTTAAGAAATAATGTTTCTTTTACAGTTCCCTTCTCTTTTAAAAACTTGTTATGAAATGAATACACATTTTATGCCATCTATTTTCTTGTGCCAAGCCAGCAAAAGGAATAAAAGTCAAAGAGTTAGGCTACAAATTTTATTCACACAGGTATATACACATGCAGCAATACATGCACCTCTCTACACAAAGACACACTTGCCATGCATGTATGCACACACACTTGCCTACACAGACACACTTTTTCATACACTTTTCCAGGGGCTGCCTAAATCACCCAGCCGGGAAGGGAGGGGGTAGAGGAGAGAGGATGGGGAGGGAAAGAGGCCAAGGATAAGAGCAGGGTAGGGATGAGAGGGGGCAGTGAAGGAGAGAGGAGGGGATGTGGGGTGGATGGAGGAGGAGGCAGAAAGCTACAGGTGCATGAGGATGTGGAGTGGATAGGGCCATAATGGGAGTGCAGCAGGGTATGATGGTGAAAGGGGTGCAGGGGGTGAGGGACATGGGGGTGGCAGCTCTGGGAGATGGAGAGGATGGGTGGGAGAGCACTGTAAGGGGTACAGGGCTGGGATGGGTAGGTGTGGGGGGCAGGATGGAATGGGACAGGGGAGAGATGCACTGACGGGGGACGGGGATACAGCCCCACTCCTAGCACTGGGAGACGGGGATACACATACCTACAACTCCTGGGTGCTGGTGATGGGGTGACAGACTGCGGTTCACAGCAGGGCACATGCCGCAGCTTGAGTGAGCCACACGAGAAGCGCGCGCCACACAATACCTCAACAGGCACCTGCTGAGCACTTGCCAGTGGCACTAGTTCCTCTTGCGCCCTGACCCAGCCAATGGGAGCTGCGCCTGTGAGCAGGGCACCACGCAGACACTACCCCCCCCCTCCCCGCCAGCAGCCCTTAAGGCTAGGAGCTGGACATGCTGGCTGCTTTTGGACCCGGGAGCCACACGGGCTGTGGCGCTAGGAGGGAGCTTGCCAGCCCCACTGCGGCAGCGCAAACCGGACATTCAGCGGTGCTGACCGGAGCCATCAGGATTCCTTTTCGACCGAGTGTTCCAGTCCAAAACCGGACACCTGGTCACTCTAGCCCCAGTGTAGCTATGGCTCTGCCATGCAGGCTGGCCTGCTAGTAATCATCACATTATGGTGGGTCCTAGGCACCAACCACAATCAGGGCCCCCTTGGGCCAAGTGCTGTACAAACACAGACAAGTCCCTGCCCCCTTCTTACACTAAATCTTCATCCAAATAGGGCAGTAAGCCCCTCGGGGCTGGGGCTGTTCCTTATTACGTATTTGTATAGGAACTGAAGGCCTGATTCTGACCTCACCTTAGTGAGTGGCAAGAGTAACTCTGTTAAAGTCAGTAAATGTCAGGAGACTTAGGCCCTTACTATATCGCAGGTGGCAACTGGAGCGATGGGGCAAACCAAGTGAGGAAGAAGAGCAGCATGCATTAACATCTCTATTTTATTAGCATTGGTCTGGAGATATCCATGTATACTTAGTGAACTGGAGTTAAAGAGAGTTGGGAAGAGAAGCTGCTCCTTCTCCATCAGCAAATTACTGTACAAATTAAGATCAATCCAGTTTCACCACATTCCTACAAATAACAAAATCAGTTTAAAACCATATAAAAGATAGAGGTCTACTGTCACTTACCCTCACAATCCATATATGGTATAGAAGAGCTCGTTGAACACTACAAGTGCTAGAAGATAAGGCCCAGATCCACAAATGTATTTAGGTTCCTAACTTCCACTGAAGTCAAATACCTTTGTGAATCTGGGTTTAAGTGTTTCTGAAGTGTCCATTTTCCTCTGGAGAGAGGTGGGTGAGCTTTTGAGCTACACCAAGACCTGAAGAGCTCTGTATAGCTTGAAAGCTTGTCTCTTTCACCATCAGCTGGTCCAATAAAAGATATTACCTCACCCACTTCGTTTCTCTAGCATCAGGGAGCAACACACCTACAACATTTCCCCCGTAACCTGATACACCATCTTTGAATCAGAAAAGAGATTGGCCGAAGTTATGACATCTCAGAAAAGATTTGTGGAGTACAAGCAGGAAGGGAGCACCCAACTTATTGCAGACAGCAGAATGCAGACCAAGTTTTCAGACATGAAACAGGCCCAATTTAGGATGGACTGATTTCAGTCTTGCATTTGTACTTTAGTTAGTTTGCTAAAGAAAGGTTTATTCTTATTAGTTGGCTAACCATTAAAACATGATTTGCAATAAAATACAGCCTATACACGAAATCTGATACTTTTTGCTCAGCAGGATATGCTCTATTTATACACATTTAAGTAATTTTATATCTTAAATTAAGATTAAGATTTACAGTTAGAAAATGATGACTAGTGTATTTCTTTAGTAGATTAATTTTTCACTTGTGATTTTTGTTAAGCTCTATTTGGATGGAATGTGGAATTCCATTATAAATGCCGCCCCCCCAGCATTTTAAAATTTTATTTAACCAAATAAAAAACAGACAAGCAAGCTTAAATGTGCTGGATGAATTTAAAACGTATTTATTAAAACAAAGGAAGTATTATCTGTACTTAATGAATGGAACTAGTTGTTTCTAGTCACCATCCACTCATACTTGTCAGATTGGAAGAGAAAACAAGCTTCCCTGTTTTGTTTTTCAACACCCAATCATCTTAACATTTAACGAACTAGTCATTGAACTGAACTAGTTGAATAAACTGAAATGAAGAAAATATTCTTTGCATCTGCAGAAGAGGCTATTGCTTTCAAAAGATGGTTTAGCACTTCAACAAACTGGTTCCTGGTGCTTTGCCAGTGACTTCCACCAGTTCAATGATCTGACTTCCTTTAAAACTTCAGCAGCAAACATGTACTGCTTGAATTATTTAAAATTATTTTAATAGCACATACTAAGTTTAGATCTTAATATAGTTCATCATAAGTCCAATTTTAAAGCAAAATTGAGCTGGAGAGGTTAGTCATGTGACTTCACTGTAGTTTAAAACACTCTAAAGATAACAAACAAGAACTGAGTAAAATACATGAAACATATGTACAAAAACCACAGAACAAGGACACAGATGCTGCAGAACTATGAACCTCCAAGCAATCTCTATGGTATGAGTCAATGTGAATTCCAGTAAGGTGGATATTGCAGACAATAGGAGGTTTGGCATGAAAAAGCATTTTATTGAAACAAAAAACAACGTGATATCACAATTTTTACTCTATTTTTCCTAAGTTTTTACATAAATGGCTATCAAGTGAATATTACAGCAGTAGAGATTTCTTGGATCACTCAATCGAATGTGATCCGAAAACTGCGTTCCTGTTCCTTTCGGCGGCTCTCACAAACCTTCGTCACCTCCTCTACCTTCCTCTGCAGCAGGGCTATGGGGAGAGGGGAAAAAACATAATACACACATAAGGATCACATGAACATCATAAGAGACAGCCCTAGGCAGTACAGGTCTGGAGGAGAGAAGAGTGTCTCAGAAAGAGTAAAGATCAATGGTTAAGATAGGTTTGGGAACAGAAGGGGAGAGAAAAACCCAGCACGAGACACTGCTGAACTGCAAAAGGCTCATCGGATGGCTATGATGGCAGAAACTCTAGCAACACCCAGAAACAAGTGGACAAGCCCAAGAGGACATTTTGGCCATCACTCCAATCTTCCTTGCTGACCCAACTTCAATTTGGTTTACGTTAATTTATGTTATTTCATTTACATTTTCAACAAAAGTTTTACAAAGTTAGAAACTAAACACTTGCTGAACATGAGTAGCTGGAACAGGCTCCATATTTGGAAATACACAAATCATGCACGGGCGCGCACACACACTATCCACTCTGCCCCCTTCATGACCTATAATCTGTTCTCAATTATTGTCTATAAAATAAGTAAATTACTGCAATAGTTCTGTATGCTGTAGGCACTGCACTGAAAAAGCCTACTCTTTCTGAAAACCTGTAAATGACTCCTGCAGAATAATTTCACCAATCTTTATCATAAAGCTGCACTATGGGTCTGCAGTATGGAGACATTCTAGTCCATTTAAGTTCTTGTAATACATCTAACATGTGATACCAGACTCTTCCAGTAGTACATTAAGTGACCTGATTAGCATTTGGAATGTTTTCTTTCTTCTTTCCTCTTAAAGGGAAAATTATATATGGGTTTATTATATATAGCATATTTTACGTTCATTAAAATGTTTTTGTTAATGAAGGCAGGTTGAAACACATTTTGCACTTGGAACAGAAAGCAGCATGTTTTGTGTTGGTACTTAGAGTCTGCAGGAGTTCATTCCAATCTTAAGCCAGACTCCAGGAAAGCTCTGTGTCCTGGACAAACAAGCTTCCCCTTTGCAGTTAACGTGCATTAGAAGCATTAAAACACATGCAGTGGCCCATATTTTCAAGAACAAATAACTCTGCAAATTTAAATATCCTTTCAAAGCTCCAAATTATGCAGGGCACTCTTTTTGTACTGCGAGTTTTAGCCCCACTATCAGCTACACATATAGTATATCCATCTCAAAATTTAATACTCCCATTACAAAGCAGAGCTCTCACCAGTGTCCAGTCAGCTATGGTAACCCTCAAACATTTAATAAGAGAAATAGAAGAAAGTAAAATTCCTTGGCGTTCTTTTGGCAAGAGGAGAGATTTAAGATCATCTAGATTATACCTGTGTTCCCCCAGCTAAGATCTTGTCATCTTAGGGTACCATGGTGTGCCGAGAAGGAGTGGACTCATTGGAAATGGGAAGCAAATTAGCCAAAGGTATGTTTACAGATCTCAGCAATGTGAGAGTTTGGAATCTACTAGGTGTCTGTTCCACATTTTAAAACCCCCACACATTTACTGGGCTAATACAGCTCTCTGGATGCAAATGTTAAAGTTACATAAGTCTTAAGAAACCCCTCAGCAAGATAACAGATGTTACAATTATTATCTAGAAAAGCTACTTTGCTTTTATGAGGTGGCCCTGAAGGTGTTTTAAGGGAATGGGATTTAGAAACTTGTGAACAGTTTCTATGTTTTACATTTTTAAAATCAAGAAAAATATAATCTTGGAAGCGTCACTTCTCCCAGTCCTGCCAATGGGACAAGCCATTCTGGCTGTTGCAGAAGGGGGGCACATGAGGGGTACGTGTAAATAAGAACAGGAACTCTTACATTTGCTAAACATCCCAAGGGAACAAAGGAAGCACACGAATCATTTAGGGAAAAAAGTACATTTTGTAGCATCAACTGCTCCTTCCCCTGCTTGAGGGACTTGCCCTACCATACTAAAGTTGACAGGTTCCTCTTTGAAACTTGCATATCCCCTAAAAATAGACATTGGACTATTCAATTAATCTAGTGATCTAATTAATTGGCTGAATAGCCATGATTTATAATTAGGACCCTACCAAATTCAGCCATGAAAAACGCATCATGGACCGTGAAATCTGGCCTTTTATGTGCTTTTACCCTAGACTACACAGATTTCACGGGGGATACCAGAGTTTCTCAAGTTGGGGGTCCTGACCCAAAAGGGAGTTGCAAGGGAGTCACAAGGTTATTTTAGGGGGGATCATGGTATTGTCACCCTTATTTCTGCGCTGCCTTCAGAGCTGGGTGGCTGGAGAGTGGCAGCTGTTGGCCGGCACCCAGCTCTGAAGGCTGTGCCCCGCCAACAGCAGCACAGAAGTAAGGTTAGCACAATACCATACCATGCCTCCCTTACTTCTGCGCTGCTGCTGACGGTGGCTCTGCCTTCAAAGCTGGGATCCCGGCCAGCAGCCGCTGCTCTCCAGCTGCCCAGCTCTGGAGGGAGCCACCGGCTGCAGCAGCACAGAAGTAAGGGTAGCAGTACCACAACCCCCCACCCCACCCACTCCTTTTTGGGTCAATTACAACACCATGAAATTTCAGATTTAAATAGCTGAAATAATGAAATTTACTATTTTTAAAATCCTATGACCGTGAAATTGACCAAAATGGACCGTGAATTTGGTAGGGTCCTATTTGTAATACAAGAAAAATTCTCACGCTGATGGAACAAATTGCAACCCCTTTAATAATCATCTTCAAAAGAAATAGGCAACTGCTTTAAACCAGACTGACATTGAGGACTGCAACTGGACCCACAGATCTGCTGCTACAGGCGACATCCCAGAAGCTGTCAAATCTCATCATGACTACAAGCACTGAGTACTGAGAAGTTAACACCTTTTAGGAACCTGGAAGCCAAATACAGCTCTGGTATAATCAGACAAACCTATTTAAATCAAGGGAGTTTGCCTTCTTTCAAAAGGGATGAATATAAACCATGGGTTTGGGGACATTCACAGCTTTGCAGGAGTTGAGAGTGCAGCAGAGCTAGTGTACCTGAGTCCTGGAAAGAGCAGCACCACATCACCCAACAGTGTCCTCTTGTGGCTAATTAGGTTCAGTTAAGGAGAGCTGCAAACTAGCTAGAATACTCAGGATCCTTTACTGGGAGACAAATGGTTCCTGGTCATGAAAACTATGTGTAATAACTTCAGAAAAAGCAATTAAACCCTGGAAGCATCCCAATATTTTAGTGAAAAAACCCAGTCCCTGAAGAGCAATCTTCCTTTCTAATACCCAGCATAACATCTGTTCAGTATTATCTTTTCAAAGTTACTCTGCAACTTCTGCAGTGTCCCTCAGAAAATGGAGTTACTGTACCTGCAGCGAACGAACGTTTGACCTCAGCTAACAGCGTAAGGAGCAATCTTCCTGAGCTGAAACTCGGGAGAGAGAGGGGCCACAGGATAGATACTGAGGTAGGAAGGCCAATGGAGGTGACCAGAGCATTTTAAAAACTGGCATTTGTGACCCTCAAAAGACATTTTCCATAAAGAAAAGGCTGATAACATTGTAAAAGCCCATGCTCAGACTATCAATAGGGAAGCCATTTTCTATTGATAGTTTTAGAACACTGATTTTCCTAACATATTTAGCAAATGGCCAGGAACTTCATCCAGAAACTACTGAGTCTATAGGGCTTTAATGGAAAATGAAGAGAGAGGGGAATCCAAATGATATTAGGCTGGTAACTTGGGGAAGACTCCTCATGTATCTTTCTGAAGTGATCTATGGTCAAGAAACACACACACCAGAATTGCACTTAGTACTTTAACTTCATAACAAATGATTGTTTTGCACAGTCCACTACCAGTACCTGTCACTGTCTAGCTGATCTCTCAACCTTCAGTCCCTCCACTAAGCACTGAATAGAGAGGCCAGAAAGAGATTACACTTCCCCTCCTCCTTCAAGATATCCAATCTTCCTTCCTAAGTGCAGTTCAGACCTGACATTTTGGCCAGTCCATTTTTTTATGTAAAAAAAAAAAAAAGGCTTCATTAAGGTTCTTACCCGAGTTCTGGTCAATCCACTGCAATGAATCCATGTGTGCATTCAAAATTTTACAGATCTGCTGGAGCTGGAGAGAAACAGATGCAAGATTTTAGGTGTGAGTTATTCTGTTGTAACACGTGGAAATGAACAACAGTAAGAGAAATACCAGTTAGACACCAGTCTAGCCTGGTCCTCGGGGCTTGCTGTAGCAGTCAGGGCTAAGTACTCCATACATTTAGCAAATCTAGCAGTCACTTCATCCAGGTGAAGCTGATACAGAAGAAGCACATAGCACAGCTGTATGGGGACCTCTGGTTTGGAAAATATCCTTGTGGCCTGGGCTTTCTTAGGCTAATAGAGATCAGATACATCATACCCATAAAAGGTTTACTCTCAAGGTGGTGTAGAAGAGGCTGGGAAAGCTCCCTGCTCTGCAATGTTCAGCAAAAGGGAAGTTCTCCACTGACAAGCCTACAGGCAAAAACCATGATGGAGATTAAAATCAAGTTGATATGTAGGAGAAAGATGAGAATTCAGGTCTGAATTAGAAGATGAAAAGTACAACAGAAGATGGAAACAATGACAGATGTACATGGGACAGAAGAGAATTCTGATCCGTCACAAGGAATATATGCAAGAAGCATAATAGTAAGCAGGATTACAGCCACGCTATCTGTGGTATTTAGTCCTAAACTCAGGCAAGAGATGGCCTGTTGTCCTTGGGGCAGCTGAAGTGGCACACAAAGGACTATCCAAAGTTCACACCCAAAATCTGATAGGTCTGTCTGCAAAAGGTCTACAATATGGTGGGAAATATCTTCCAGACTTCAAAAATATATGTATATAAAAGATAAATACAACAACAAGTGAGTGATTGTGGGGGGAGGTTTTGCAATCTCTCTGCTGGCAGCATTTATAATGTTCATGTGACCCTAGAGTAAGCATAAGGGAGCCACATTGGCTTGTGCTGGAACAGGAGTTTGGCCAACAGAAAAAAAACTAGGGAGTAAAAGCTGTAAAATCCTCTTCAAATCCTGAAAATACAAACGACATGAAGAGTATTCAGAACTACACAAGTTAAATGGCCCATAAGAGATTTTTACCACCTTCACAAGAGAACTTGGCTCATACTCACTGGGTCGCTGGTATCGGCAGGGCCCCCAGATGTGTTCAGGTGCTCAATGATGTCTTTGAGATCCTGTGCCATACGCTTCAACTGGGCATCTATGTTTTCAGCCAATTTATAGCTGCAAAGCACATATGGGTATGTGGTCAGAGTGTTTCAAATCAAACAGATATACCAGGTACACTGGAGGAACATTTTGCCCCACCAACTAGGCAACACCAACATTCTTTCATAGGAGAGAGACATGAACACACTGGGAATAGAGATGTCTTCAATGCTCTTTGACATTTCTAAGATTCAACAGAATATTCTCCTCACACCCTACCAGAGGAATAAAACAAACCAACTGGTCCTGATCCTGCAAGACATCTCTTGGGCAAGTCAGACACCCTCTCTGGTTGCCTTACTAGAATTCACCAGTCCTTGCCCTAAAATGCTTGCATGACTTGAATAATCACACACACTGCTTCCCTGGCTCTAATCAGCACCCATGGGACTTCACTTTCAGTAGTATTAGAGAGATCATTCCAAAAATTAATAGACTGACCTCAAATAGCTAGTTAAGTCCACATCCCCCAAAAGAACTCCATTTATGTTATCTAATAAAATATACTGACAGCTCTACTTCCTCATTCCTCTATCTACACTTCCAATATGGGAAATGCAAGCCACTGGGAAGACTATGTTCCAGAAAAAGCTGTTACTAGTTTCCTCATCCTATAGCAACCCCCTAGAATGCCCTGTAGTCCAAGTTTAGTTCTTCCTGTCCTCAAATGTTACTACATTAGCTCTGCCCTATCATGTGCTTAACTAGGATCACTTCCTTACGTTCGCTCCCGCTCCTCATCTGCGTGCTGCAAGTAGATAGTCCCACTCTGTTCCTTTACAGACTCCTCCAGAGGGATCAGCAAATCTTCCAGCTCCTTCTGTTGTGACAGGATGAAATCAAGCTCCTGATCCAACCTGCAAAAAGGCAAATGAACAAGTGTGCTACTGAAAGCAACTTAGGGCAGAGTTATATGTGGTGTATAAACTCTTCATCATCGGAAGGCTGCAAGGAGATGGAAAGATCACTATCCCAGGAAAACAAAACACATCACTAAAGCACACAGTCTCTCTTACCTCTTCTGATCCAGCTTCACTTTCTCCACTTCTCTGTGTAATGAAGTAATCTAAAACCAGACAGGAACACATAGCATTTAACAGACTGTAGCAATAGAATTCAGAAATCATCTGTCAGGATGTAGGGGTAGAGGGAAAGGGGTGGATTGAGAAAAAACACCATGAAAATTGTGTACCAGAAAGACGAAATAGTGGTATAAATGTTTATAGAGAACATTTTAGATTTAGTACTGGAGTTATGGCCACAAAAGCCAACTCCTAGGCAACAGGCTGGCCTAAGATTTCTCATCTTATCTGGGCAACTCTTAATCATGCTGGGCCAGATTTGTAAAGTTGTCTAAGAAGCAGATAGGTGCCTAGTGAGATTTCCTCCTCCCCCCAAAAGACCCACCAATGGAAGTTCGGCGTCTAGGTACTTTTGAAAATCCCACTGGGTGCCTATTTGTATCTCTGGACACTCAAATACCTTTAAAAATCTAGCCCTATGTGAAAAGTAGGTTGATAAGGCATGCCATCTCACCTTCTCTCCATTCTCAATCAGTGTCCGATCCCAGGCATTGACCTGTGTAGCCTGATGAAGAAAATGTTTCTCCTGGTCCTCCAGTTCTAGGCTCCATTTATTAATCAGACTCTCCAGCTGAGCATAAGTCATCACTGGGGGAGCACTGGGGTTGTGGAAGTTGAGAGAGCATTAAGCATTAGAATGAATACAAGCTCAAAAATGACAAGAGATAAAGCTGACAGCACAGCTAGTGTTAACCGCACGACCACTGAATTACAAATAGACCTCAACAGTACATCCTTGCCAGGATATAGTATATCTATGATACTCACTGTACTTCTGCATTCCAATCCCACCACAGTCTCTTTGTCTGGAGTAGCCTATTCTGATTCCTCCACTCAAAATCCAATAAACTGACTACATCATGAATTTGAACACTCACTCTCAGTACCCAGCCACTGGACACTTGGCAGTAACTCAATTGGCTGAAAGGACTCACCTGGTTGTTGTGGTGGCTATAGTAGCAGTAGAAGTCACAGCACCAATGGTACCAGTGGTGGTCAGTGGTTTAAGATTCAAGGCAAAGCCTGTGCTAGGGGCAGAAGAAGTGCCTGCAAGGAAAGATTTAGTGTCACACCACACATAAAAGGAGAGGAATGAATACAGAGGAGGAGAGGTCAGCTGTGATCTAGCAGATTGGACGCAAGATTGGAAATTAGGAGACATGAGTTCTATTCACAAATTACCTTGACTGTGTGATCTAGATTAGCCACGTCACTTGAGTTTCTCCATTTGTAAGATGTAGATAACACTACTTATCCACCTTTGTAAGGTGCTATGAGATCTTTAGAAAGCTCTATTCTGTATAAGCAGCAAGTGGTGGCTTATTTCTCTTAGTTTTCAAATTATATAGATATATATATAGAGAAGAATAAATAAATAAATCAATTTTGCTACAATGGACAGGGATGGACTGAAGATCCCCAGGTTCCCTTCCAACCCAAGTGGCTCTATTAAAATGAGGGACTGAAAGCACATATTTAACCAGGTAATATTGAGAAAGATACAATGCAAACTCTGCACACATCTCTCTCAACCCAGATCTGCAGGACCCCAACTACTATAATACTGAATCTACACATAGCTCTGCCAATGCATGCAATTTGTGAGCTGCATCACTACTCTTCTTTGGAACTGGACTTCTTATAAGCAGAGCTGGTGAACTAAAAAATGTTTTAATGATGCTGATGAACATCTGTTAATAAAACTTGACAGTTATACAGCACCTTCTGTCCCAGGATCTCAAAGCTCTTTATGAACCTTAAGGAAACAAGCCTCAATGCTTGTTGGGCAATAGCTTTCCTTTTTGCAAAATAGTAGTAAGACATAGACAGGCAAGGATCACAAAGCAACTGACTGGCAGAGTCAGGAACAGGATGCTGGGTCCTGGATCTTGGTACTGTGCTATTATTAAGTCTAGACAAGGACTTCTCAACCAGTTGGGTGCAACTCAGAAGTGTGAACAACCCACTGGTTGATGGAAGTGGGCAAAAGGCTTCAAAATTCTGCATTCTCTAGGATCCAGGGCAGGGAAGAAGCTAGATGCTCCCTTTCTATCCTATTTCCACCCCATCCTAGGCACCCCAACTAATCCTACTGCAGCTCCTCAGTCCTCCCTATTTCTCCCTCCCCTCTATCCCTACACAATGTGCAGCTACAGCCACAGCCTCTTGAAGCAATGCTATGCCTGCTGTGTAGGAAGGCTGGTGGCTGGAGAGGGAGATGCTACCCCAGTAACAGCAGCCCCTCACCAACCCTGTAAACCAGACTGCCAAGCTCTTACAGCCCCCAGCCAAGACCACCTGTGGTTTCTTGCTGTGAACACAAGTCCACAATGGCCACAAAGAATTGTGGGACCAGATGTATCACAACACAAAACAGTGGATGGTTTTCAGATCCTGGGTAGAAAGAGACTGAGAATCATGGGACTATACAATAGTGTTATCAGCATGATCATTCTCATTCTTTTCAGAATCTAGTCCTTACTCGTGGTAGTGATGGTTGCAGCAGTCGTCGTGCCAGGGACCTTTAATCCAAATCCAAGAGTACCCAGACTGGTTGCTGCAGTTGAGGTGCCACCAACTGTAAACAGAAGAGAATAACACAGTTTCCTGTGTGTCCCGCTGGACTGGGATCCCCTTTAGAAAGTTACTGTGCTCTGGTCCCTGTTTTATCTGTACTAGCAATGAACCAATAACTAAGTAGGCTGAGGGAACATCCAGGCACCTAGATGAAGAATGGCAGGTTGAAACAATGGATACATACAGAAGGCCTCACAGCTGTTTTAAGAGTTCTTCTCAATTCAGCTGCAAAGCTACTAACTATTATATTTGGATAATTTGAAACATGCAACATTCATCTGATACAAATTGCTAGAACAGACAATAGGACCCAAACACCAGGCTCAAGGTAGCTTGGGAACACAATCCTGGAACTATAAGTACTCAGAGGCTAAATGAGAGTGAGGATTGCGAGTAACTCATTACGGAAACAATCCACTGAATCAAATACAGCATCCTGGATATGGCTAAACTCAGAAGACTATCTTGCCAAATTTACTAAGCCCCACAGAGATACACTTTGGAAAAGGGATGCCAAAACATAAGCAGAATGAAGGCAGGAAGCCAAATTCATTTCCGGTAGAACTCCACTAACTTCAATGGAGTTACGCCAAGGACAAGTTTGGTCCCCACGAGGTGCATGATTGACTCCATTCTCACTGAGTTTTTGCAACATGTAATGTAATTTGGTTGGAGTGATCTGGCTAGGCTGTGTTCCTATGAACACAGCCTAAAGATCTCAAAATACTGTCTGGTTTCTTCTAATGCAAGTGAGCTGCTATTTCTTACTTCAGGTGGCTCAGTTTTGCATGCTCTCTCTGGTAAACTGCACTGTTTCTCTCTTATACAGAAAATGAAGGTGATCCTGAAGTTATGTACCGTACGTATTTAATGATGGACCCAACTTTCTGCTTTTATGTCCTAACACCTGAAACAGCTGAATAATATTCAAAACAAAAATTACTCTGGTCCACAGAGTAAAGAAGGTGTCACCTATGAAAAAAACCCTCCACAAACAGTGCAGCCAAGGTACAGGCCTTTATCTAAAAAAGAAGAGGACACCTGATTGTCATGAGCAAGCCAAAAGCCCTCCTCCAGGCTCTTTGCAAGGGTAGGAGCAAAGAAAGTGGGCATTCTGGAGAGCTTGAATCACAGCTGATTAGACCAAGAACCACCTTATCCTGAAGCTTCAAGATCTTAACTACATGTAATACTGTTGCAAAAAAATCAAACATCATTCTGGGATGTATTATCGGGAGTGTTGTAAGCAAGACACAAGGAGTAATTCTTCTACTCTACTCAACACTAGTAAGGCCTCAACTGGAGTACTGTGTCCAGTTCTCGGTATCACACTTCAGGAAAGGTGTGGATAAATTGGAGAAAGTGCAGAGGAGAGCAACAAAAGTGATTAAAGGTCTTGAAAATAAGAACTAAGAGGAAAGATTGAGGGGAAAAAAGGGTTTGTTTAGTCTGGAAAAGAGCAGAGGAGACATGATAACAGTATTCAAGTGCATAAAAGATTGTTATAAAGAGGAGGGTGATAAATTGTTCTCCTTAACCACTGAGGACAGGACAAGAAGTAATGGGCTTAAATTGCAGCAAGGGAGATTTAGGTTAGATATTATGGAAAACTTCCTAATTTTAAGGGTAGTTAAGCACTGAAACAAAATTACCTAGGGAAGCTGTGGAATCTCTGTCATTAGAGGTTTTTAAGAACAGGTTGGACAAACACCTGTCAGGGATGGTCTAATACTTAGCCCTGCCACAGTGCAAGGGACTGGACTAGATAACCTATTGAGGTCACTTCCAGTCCTACATTTCTATGATTCTATGTTTTACATCAAGTACTTGGAGAAAATCTGGTAAATTATTCTATTATTCATACAGCAAATACATAAGCTACTAAAAGTTACAGATGGGCAATCAAAAAAGATATTCTCCAGTAGCCAAAAGAACTGTAGTGCAATAAACCCACACTTTCACTTCCCCAAAGGACTTTTAAAGCAGCTCTCTGGCTAGGTACAAAGTGGTGTTTTTCTACACAAATAGCTATATTAACAGCAGAAATCACTCCTTGTGGCAAAATTCTTGTAGTCAGGTTTATTTCCCCATTGTTGACTATGACTGTTAACACATTTATAGGGTTGGAAAGTGAGAGAGCAGTTAGACACAGGGTCAGATTAACTACCCTACAGTGGGCAGAAGAGGGTTAGTATTTCCTGGTATGAAGTAGCTGGCACATCTTCTATCACGAAGGAATTACCTAGATACGCAGCATATTAAAACCACCAAATATTCACACACACCCTTCCCCAAACCAGCACCTCACTTGAAATTGGAATGTGAAGACCTGACCTGAGCATCAACAACACTATCTCAGAGATAATAGCACAGGGAGGGCAAATCTACACTACAAAATTAAGTCAACTTAAGTTACATTGCTGTACAGTCACTGGAGTCATTAAATTATATTTTTCCATGTCCAAACCCCCCTCCTGCTGTCGGCAGTGCACGTCCTCACCAGGAGCGCTTCCACCAATTTAACTGACAGTGTGGGGCACTGACAGCTCTGGGCTGTCAGCCGCCAGGGACTGACAGCCATAACAGTATAGACACTGCATCAACCTAACTATACAAACCTAAGCGGTACAACTCTCGGGGAGGTGGAGTTATTAAGTCAGTGTAGTGAGTGACTTACATCAGCAGGAGCAACACTAATGTAGACACTCACAGAGTTAGGTCGATGTAAGCGGCCTTATGTCAACCTAACTCTGTAGTGTAGATCAGGCCTGACTTTAACACATGTAATCAGAGTCACTGGCATGTTCAGCTGTGATGATAATATCAGGACAATGGACACACAAAAAATCAGAGTTAGTTAAAATTGCCACTCTTCTCACATGCATTATGTTCTGGACAAAAGTTTCTATGCAATGAACAGGATACATCACTGACAAGATTTTTGCCTTGAAGCGGACAAAGACAAGCTGACACTATCAAAGACCAAAATAACTGTAGTTGTACCTTATCGTGATTCCTCCACTTTAGTGAAAAAGCACCATCACCACAGACAGAACCTGCCAACCTACTCCGTGACCATCTACTTGCCAATACGAGGATAGACTGTGAGGAAAACTGTCTGATACATGTTCTGTGACTTACGTGAGAGGCCTGTGGCAGCAGAGGAGTTTGGCGCTGAAGAACTTGCTATGGATGCAAACAAAGTAGGCCCAGATGAACCAAGAAGGGAAGCTGTGGTGGTAGGAGCTGTGGATGTTGCAGTCAAGCCTAGAACAGAAAAAGCCAAAACCCATACAAACATATCCTTCTCTGAAGCTTCAAGACACACACTCAGAATAAACAAAGCAGAGAACGGGACCTTTTCTTTGACACACCTTTTCTCCATTCATCTACATCAGCGGTTCTCAAACTGTGGGTTGTGACCCCATTTTAATGGGGTCGCCAGGGCTGGTGTTAGACTCTCTGGGGCCCAGGGCTGAAGCCCAAGCCCAAGCCCCACCAGGCTGAAGCTCTGAGTGGCAGGGCTCAGGTTACAAGCGCCCCCCCCCCCCCCCGGACTGAAACCCTTGGGCTTTGGCCCCCACGCCCAGGGCGCCGGGGCTCAGGCTTCAGTCTCCCCCTCCACCCCCGCCTGGGGTCATGTAGTAATTTTTGTTGTCAGAAGGGGGTCATGGTACAATGAAGTTTGAGAACCCCTGATCTACACTAATCTTCCTTCTATTGACGCAAGAGTCTTCTCCTCTGCAGCTTCTGTTTTCAACTTTAATTTTAAAGTATCTCTTTTCCCCCCCAATCACCCTTAAACTCCTCTTTCTGTTTTATTTTACCCCATAAAGAATTGTGAAATACAGTTTTCATACGCAAAACTCTGTACAAAGTAAAATTGAGCTGTACAGTAAAATAAGGTGCTTAGAGAACTTACAGAATCTGACCAAGAAGCAAATTCACTGTAAGACAACGTATAACGCGTCCACTCCACTCCTATTTTGATCTGTTCTCCACACTCCAATAAACAGAATTACTTCAAGCAGGGTAGTCAGACCCCCTTCACCCTGACTCATCTTTCAGTCACCATGCCCCAGTCACCACCTACCTCCGAGTTTGGTTCCAAATGATAAACTAGGTCCCTGGATGGTAGTAGCTGTCAATGTTCCTGTGGGTGCAGAGGTGGCTGCTGTCGAGGCCAGTATTCCAAAATTTAAACCTGGATTAAGAAATACAAAAAGACATGAAACAAGAGCAAACAGTTCTAAAGCAGAGACTCTGAAATACCTGCAACTGCAGAGAGAGAGACTGAAAAAACCCACAATATCCAAATGAGTAGAGCTAAGAATATCTATTATCAGATTAATATCGATGTCTCTCTGACAGACCTAGATCCAGCACTGTCAATGGGATTCACTAGATCTAATACATTCTGTCCATAACAACTTGTAGGATTTGCTCTAATGCAGACTAACTGCAGCTGACCATCACCCACCCAGGCTTTTTAATGTCTTCCCCCCCACTTTTTAATGTCTAAAAGACCATCACTGTAACTTCGTGCTGATGTGTCAAACTTGACTTTTTGCTGTTTCTACTTTGTCCCTGTCCGAGGTACTGGAACTATTCTTAATGGCCTGGGAAGTATACAGTAGTGGCTTCAAACCCCTGGCACAGAGTCCATTGAGCAACTGACTATAAATGCAAGGTCTTTTTACCCACATATAGATCTTATTTCTAAAGAGAACTGATTTTACAAATGCAACCAATTTTCAACTTGCTGCCGACACTCAGGATGTGGCAGAATTATTTCAGTCCTTTGAGGTTGAAACCCAGCACTTACGGAAAACACAGTTCTAACAAGAGATAGTCATCTGTAACAGTCACAGTACTATGGTACCAAACCCTTTCCACAAAGGTTTGTGGAACTGTGATTGCAAAGACATTCCAAGTCCTGCAAAATAAAGGTCAGATGATCCCACTGTCATCTCTGCAGTTCTGTTTCTTTCTAAACTCTTATTTCATCTCATCATCTGGGTGCATCTAGATGCTCACACACAAGACACGAGTAAGTCAGTAGCCCCGGATTTAATGAGATAAGCCTGCAGACCACTCATCCCAGCATTATGGCCTTAGATTGGAGTGCTGTGAAAAAATAAATTTCCTCTGCAAAATGGCCTACAAAAGAAACAGTGGCTTATTAACCAAGCTGGACTAACTAGGCCACAAACTAATTTGTTGACTCAGTGCATGCTCACACTCTGTCACTTCCCATTATAGCAATCTGAAGTAGCAAACAAAAACACTTCTGCTAAGGTTCTACTGTGTGTATTTTCTAAATTTCATATTATCTGGTGGGCATCAAGAAAGAGATAAACCTGACTATCAACATTTAGGATACAAAGTATACTCTGTAATTCTGTCACATTATTGAGACCATCCATAGAGATGCCATCTTAAAGACTACATGAAAAACTGTTACCGATACCTGGCGACTTTGGGCAGGCATATATTGAAAAATGGTGACCTACAGCACCAATTCTATTTCACACCAGACTGAAACAGCAGACTTCAGTGTCCACTTCTCAAACAAACCATCAATTCACCTGCATTATTAGAACTTTTAATAGGTAAATACCATTTCATTTACATAGCTTCAGAAGTCAGCTGACTGGAGGAGCTTTAATATGAATATAGTACAGTAACTCCTCACTTAAAGTCGTCCCAGTTAACGTTGTTTCATTGCTGGTCAGTTAGGGAACATGCTCATTTAAAGTTGTGTAATGCTCCCTTCCAACATTGTTTGGCAGCCGCCTGCTTTGTCTACTGCTTGCAGGAAGAGCAGCCCATTGCAGCTAGCTGGTGGGGGCTTGGAACCAGGGTGGACCGGCAGCCCCCCTATCAGCTCCCCTAAGTTCCCTGTGCAGCAGCTGCCTGCAGTTCAGCTGTCCCTCCCCCCACTGCCATGTGCTGCTCCCTGAGACTCCTGCTTGCTGTGCGGGGGGAGGGGGCTAATGTCAGGGTGTCCCCCTCCCTCCTGCTCCCCGCTTACCCCATCTTGCATAGAGCAGGGGGGACACACCAGGGCTCAGGAGGGAGCTTGCAGCAGCTGCAGTCTCAGCAAGCTGATCTAATTAACAAGGCAATGTACTTAAAGAGGAAATGCACATATCTCCCTCCATTCCTGCTGCCTTGTAGAGTGAGAGAGTTAACCCTTGAGGGCTCAGCCAATTGCTAGTTCAACATTTAGCAGTAAGTGAAATATCCCACCCTCTGACTCCTCCACCTCAACCAAGCTTCACAAACATCATCACTGTGTACCAGTATTAAATTGTTTGTTTAAAACTTATACTGTTTGTATGTGTGTGCGTGTGTGTGTATATATAGTTTCTTGTCTGGTGAAAAAAAATTTCCCTGGAACCTAACCTCCTCATTTACATTAAATCTTATGGGGAAATTGGTTTTGCTTAACATCGTTTCTCTTAAAGTCGCATTTTTCAGGAACATAACTACAACGTTAAGTGAGGAGTTACTGTACTGCTAATACTTGGGCTTCCGATTCAAGATTGATACTCACCTGTGGACTGTCCCCCAAGACTGAAGGCAGTGGCTGGTTGTGCAGTAGTTGGTGCAATGGTGGCAGCAGCTGGGGCTGCTCCAAAGGTTAACCCTGTAGGTGCTACTTGCTGAGTTGTATTTCCCACAGAGCTGATATTAAAGTTCGGGGTTCCAGTCTGAGCTGTTCCGCTGCTGGCAAAGTTGAACCCTCCAGTTGTCCCAGCCTGAGCAGTGGTGGTGGTAGTGGGGCCAAAAACAAAGCCAGAAGGAGCTGCTACTTGACTTGAAGACACACTGCTTGGTATAGAGCTGGTAAGGGCGGTACTGTTAGCAAGTCCAAACCCCCCAGTGATTACTGTAGTCTGAGGGGTGCCACTGCTGCCCAAGTTTAACTTTGGTACACTTCCCCTAGACAGAAAAAGAATAGCAAGATGAACTGCCATGTTTATAATATAGTCCAGCAAGCTGCTGAAGAGCAGTTTTTTATAGCTTATCTTTAACATTTTAGATAAGCAGAGTTTCAGGAAGGTCAGCCATTTACCAGATTTCTTTGTAGAGCATTGGATTTAATCTCAAAGAGATAGCTCAGTTCCTACACACTGTATTACAACCCATCATGACTTAACTCCACTTACCTTGAGGCTTCCTTAATTACCTCCTCTCAGTAAAGTCTACCTTTTCCATACCACTTGGTATGCCTGGGACAGCCGCTTTCCTTCTATATGTCAAACATCTTCCCCATCTTCCTTCTTTTGAATCCCGCACAAGACTCAATCTTTCAGCTAGCTTTCCACTTGGATTCTCTCCACTCCCAATGTATTTTTTAAAAATTTACAGAAAAAGACAACTCAATGATGGCAACTCACAAGAACGATAAGAACAGATACTTCCTCTAGTTAGTTCTTACCCTAACGAGAATACATTTCCTGCTGGGGCTGCAGTTGATGTGGCCGGTGATCCGAAACTGAATCCAGAAGCCTGTGCAGATGTAGCAGGGGTGGCCAGGGAGAACAGACCTGTAGACTGGGTGCTTGCTGGGGTCTGAGTTGGTGTCCCAAAACTGAATCCTGTTCCACTGCCAGGTGTGAAGGAATAGCCTGTCGGTGCTGTGGTGGCTGCTGTCTTTGGAGTGCCAAAGTTGAACCCTCCCCCAGCAGAAGCAGATCCAAAGTTAAACTGACTCATGATGATTTCTGTCTCTGAGAAGAAAAAGAATAAATAAAAAAACACTCAACAGCTCATTGCACTTTGTGCCACCCGAATTTCTGACTGGCTAGGGAATTTGGCTGTTCTGTGCATCCACACGTTGTGAGTGGTTGATGAAATACAGTTAGTGTGATTCCCTTTCAATGTGCTACTGAGCTCTACCTTCAAAGGAATATTTCAATGCTTTCATTTTCCCCCCATGAACATTTCTACCAGCAAAACACTAATTCACCACAGTCACTAAAGGCTACATAACAAATACGTTAACTATAAGAATCTGCCAGTCACTAGTGCTACAAGGATGAGCACTAATGAAACTGGCCTTAAGTTCTATGATCTACAGAGAAAGGCAGAGGCTGCCATCCTAACCTGAGGCACACAGAAGGCACATGACCGCACCCCTTGGGAAATGCGCTATAGCAGGGTACAGGTATCCCTAACTGAGCTGCAAGGCTGTGCCATGAGATGCCAACAGCAGTTGGCTAGGGGAAAGATCACGGCAGGTACCGCCTGCGTAGGGGTGGACCTTACTGCAGCAGGCACCACGGAGAGCATCCAACCCCGCCCCCGGCAATAGACACCCCTTCGCACCGAGAAGCCCCGTGCTGGGCCCGTAGCACCCGGGAATGGGACAGAGGAAAATGTTCTAGATCCCAAGGCCAGGTCCCCACTGGGCTCATCTAGTTAAATGTCACTGTGTGGGGGGGGGGGGGGCGGGACGCGCTGCCCGGGGAGGGGCAGGTTTCACCCCCGTGCCGCTGGGAGGTCAGAGAGGCCCATCAGGTCACCACCCCCGCCCGAGCCTAGCGAGCAGGGCCAGGCCCGGGCCGCCCCTCAGGGACCGCCGAGCCCGTGCTCCTGCGCGCGCCGCCATCGCTGCCCCCACCCCTCAGGGCAGAGCGGCTCGGCGGGCGGGGCCGCGCAGGGCCCGGGGGGAGCAGGCCCCTCCTCACCTGGTCACTCAAGGCCCAGCCCCGCACCACCGTTCTTTGCCTTACAGATCGCGCGCGCCGGCCCCGACGGTGAGAGACGACTGTGCGTGCGTGCGTGCGTGCGTGTGACGCTTACAGAACGCGAAGGTGGTGGGCCCAGCGTCCGCCAATCACCCGCAGAGTTAAGGGGTTCTACCATGTTACTGGCTGAACTTGCTGCCATTCCGATGTGCTCAACGGGGTTGGCTGAGAGGTCGAGATCCCGCCCTGCACGGGCCGCGTCGGGAGGGGGGAAAGACTCACCGCTGCCATGGTAACGGCAGACGCTGCGCTGGAGCTCGGCTCCCCGGGGACCGCAGCAGCCGCTGGAGACCGCCAGGTATCGGGCCTGGGGAGCGAAGGGCCCGGCACCCCGGGGGTGGGGTGGGGGGAGTCAGGGAGTGGGAGGGACCCTCGGGGGGTTGGGACGGGGAACGCGGGGGGCCAGGGGGTCCCCCGGGAAGGGGACGGGGACTCGCGGGAGGGACAGGAGCGCGGGGGGTGACGGTGGAGGGGCCAAGACCCACGGGACGGCTTGAGGCGGGAGCTGGGGAGAGGAGGAGGAAGGCCCGGGGCAAGCCCGTTGCGAAGGCGTCGGGAGGTGGGACAGAGACCGGGATCGGGTCGGGCGAAACCCTCGACGTGCCGAGTAGTACAAGGGGCATCGGCCGCATCGAACCACCTGGCCCCCGTCACCGCCTCCGCTGACCGTGGCTGCCAGGGCACCTGGGCTCAGTCTCTGGGGAAGACCTTGAAAGCATGTGCCTGCAATATCGCCAATGCCACCCCTATTACTCAGGCTCCTGGTTGCCTGCTGCATCATGTGTGGATCCCCTTCCCCCAGGGGTGGGATTTCCCCCAATATCCTCTGCATTTGGGGCATAACGTGCCCCCTTCCCCCCCCCCCCCCCAAGAGTCCCGCTGTGTGCTCTGGAGTCGAAGCTGTGAGCAGGGGTGAGGTCCATAACCTTTGGCCTGTGGCAGAAGGCTCTGATACCAGGTGTTGTAGCAAAGCTGGAACTATATAGCTTAGACAGTTGACAGTACATGGTTTGAAGGTTGGGGAGAAGAAAGAGCAAGATGAGGGCCTGTGCCTCAGCCTTGGCCCTGGAGCAGGGGTAAAGAAAGAAATGTATTGGAAATGGGACCTAGCAAGAGCAAAAAGGGGACAATGTCCCTAAGAAAAACAGGAGATACACCAAATGCCCAAGCCTATGAGAAATGGAGTAGTCCCAGAATCAGCCAAAGAAAGTGGTCTCTTTCCCAACCAACCCCACCATCCACCATACACATTGAGAAATCTGCCAGACACCTTTGAAATAAAAAGAAGCATCTCTCAAGGGGATAGAAAAGTTACTCAGAGGCCTTGTCTACACTCACATTTTGCTTCAAATTTCCCATGAAGCATTACCACTATTTCAGCTCCAGCACTGATAGCAACAGTGCAAGCATAGTTTAGATAGGCAGCCACCAGCGTTTTTACTCTATGGCTAAGAATTTCAAAGGTAGCTGCCAATTTTGCATGCCTCAATTTTCTGGTGCTCAGTTTGAGATATCTTAAAGAGGTCTGATTTTAATAAAGTGCTGAGCATCCACCCTCTGAAAAACCGGCCCTTTTAAGATGTCTCAAATTGGGCACCCAAATATTAAAGCACTCAGATCAACTAACCACTTTTGAAAATCTTGTCATAAGTTATCTATACCTTCTCTGTACAGGATTGGATGACACAATAGTTAAAATAAAGTGGCTGGTTCACACGAGAGCTGTGCCAATGACAGCAACAATTAGACGTTTTATGAAAAACAGTCTAGTATAGATATAGCCTTATATCCTAGGAAAAGGACAATTGATGGAAGAACCACAAAATGATTCTGTATGATGCCTGTAGAAAGAGTTTAGGATTAGGTCTCACCGGCTGCGTCTACACAGGGGAATGGAACCATAGGTAGTTGATGCAGTGGGATAACACC